TATGTATTTTCTAATATATTTTTTTTTAATAAATAACTTATTTTAAAAAGCCTCTCCATATACCAGCAGCAGCAAAGCAGCAGTTTGGGGAAACACAGATTCAGTCGATAAAATAACAGGAAAACTGGTCTCAAGTGAATCAGTTATTTACATAAACACAGAAAATGGAAACCTCTCTAGTTCTGGTACCTTGATAAACGTGGCCTTGTTTTGAACTTTATAAAATGCCACGTTCTAAGTCGTTCATCAAAAGATCAGTCCTTCCAACAGCATTCCAGAGGAAAAGGAAGGTTCTGGGCAGGCTCAGGCTAATTCTAACTTTGTCTTCGAAAATACTTATTTTACACTTCTATCCTGACTGTTCCTTTTCATGTGGTCTTCCTTTCTATATTCCTTTGTTGTTGTTGTTAAGTGCCATTGAGTCTGTTCTGACCCATAGAGACCCTGTACAGGGTTTCCGAGGAGCAGCTGGTGAGTTTGTACCGACAATCTTGCGGAGCAAAGCGACTTTGCAGTCCAGCACATTAACCCAGAGCTCTGCATCAGGATATGAAATATGTACATATCACAAGACCTACAAAAGTAAATTCTACTTTGGACTCATGGAAAGAGAGGGACTGGGTGCTGGTGGTCAGGAGGCAGGCTTGCAGAATGTGCCCTTTTTGTTGTTTAAGTCATTATATGTTCCTGAGTGTTTCTGTGTACATCACCCCCCCCATCAAAAAAGAAAAAACAAAAATCAGAGGGAATGGAAGCGAATACTGTTAAATGATGATGCAATGAAACGATGGTGTGAAGCCGATGTTCTCCCATGAAAACTATCACTCAGTTCACAATAAAAAAAAAGTCAGTTCTATTTTTTCTCATTAGCATTCTGTACTGACTGTACTGATTGTACCTTAGAATTCTAACATTTTGAATATACTGAGTTAATTAAAAACTATTAAAAATGGATTCCATCTTTTTCTACTATATCTTTTTGTGTGTGGTAAGTATACATGTAACAATCACTGTCATTCACTTCACATTCAGTACATGAACTATGTTTCTCAGATTCATATCCAAGTGTTCCATTAGTGTCTCCCTCCCTCCTGCCACCCCAGCATGCCTCGGGACATGACTTGTCTGCAGAACTCACATAGGCAGCATCCGGTCAAGACCCCGGGTCATACTTACCTGATGAAGGCTTCCATGATGCACTTGCAAACTTCCACCCGTACGCTCTCTTTTTGGAACATGTCCAGAAATGGCAGAAATTTTTCCTAAGAGTAGAAAAACACTCTTAAGTGCAATTCAGGCACACGACTGGAAGGGATTCGTGGAAGAATTTTGGGTTGGCGGTCTGTAAGGGAGGTGAGGTGCTCATCTTCCTGAGGTGGTCAGGCATGGCTCATCCAAAAGCAATATGAGTTTTGTTTCTTTTAACTATTCTTACTATAAGAGCACATAGGCCTCTGACTATGCATGAAAGGAATGCTGAGCAGAGAAAAGGAAGGATGTTAAGGGAAGAGCAGAGATGTCACTGCATATAGAACATTCTAGATGGGCTGTCACAGGCTAATTCTAAAATGTTGAGGGAAGCATAGTCCTGGTGTGGCACTGTGGGGTAATGCACTGAACCGCAAGGTCACTAGGTACCAGGGCTTTTTGGCAACGAGGATGCGGGTATCTAGTTTGATGCCAAGGCTTGAGAAGCTGGCAGACATCCAATTTAAAAGCAAAGCCCTGTGGGACACAGTAGGACCACCTCACGAGGATTCCACGACAGTCACCTTTACAGAAGCCGATTACCAGTCTTTCCTCCCACAGAGGAGCTGGTGGGTTTAATTCGCTGACCTTTCTGCATGTAGTCAAGCGCCTTAAACACTGAGCCACCAGGGCTCCTTAGACATTCCCAAACCAAACCAAACCCACTGCCACGGTATCAATTCCACAGATCAAACGAAAATATTTTTCTTGCAACTGACATGTATACTACTTTTTCTTTTTCTCAAATGGTTGCTTACCTTGTTGAGACATAAATATTTTTAATTGTTTAGATCGAACTGACCTATAAAGTAACTGGAAAGTGTTTTCTTTGTCAGAGAAGCGTCCTGGAAACTTACCTGAGACAAATGATCACTGGAAGCTCTGCCTAGAGGCAAATTTCCAGACAAGTCAGAAATGCTACTTACCACTGAGAAAAGAACTGAGAAATCATGGAAGTGGGCGATCACTTTCTTCATTATTGACTGCAGCTGGAGAACAAAAGGAACAAGACATCTCATTTCATTGAACTTGGCTATGTTTTTACAACACAATCTTCTTTTGTAATTTGCAGATGCAAGGTAATCCAGGATTGCTCAAGGGGCAGGGAACGAGGATTAGGTTTGTCTGTCTGAAGATTTGAGGAAACAGCTTTTTATCCTCAGCCTCAGTTTCCTCATCTATAAACTGGCGGTCAGAGAGGTACCTAGTTCATTATGTCTTTGAGAGGATTGCTATAGCTTTTGGCAAACAACATAACACACACCCATAACAGGTGGCAGAGTTTGGTCAGCATCTGCACGTTGACAAATCCTGTGTGATTATACTGCTTTGGTAGAACTGGGTGCTTCGTTTTAATCTTTGAGATTTTAGCCAAAGGTCTAGACTGTCCCAGAGTCTTCTCGAACATTGCCCTTAGGTTCTGCTCATGGAAACATTTCTAATTGAAAAAATAAAAATTTGAAAATAGTGCAGGGGGAATTTGTATGGTGGGCAAAATAGCATATAACACATGCATTCTTTGCATAAAAATACAGTAGAAGGTATGCATGAAGTGGGTAGGGCAGGGTAGAGCCCTCAGAAATCTCTCCATTAACGGCAGTGATGTGGCCCTGTGGGTTAATGCACTGGACTGCAAAGTAGGTTTTAACTGCAAGGCTGGTAATTCAAACCCTCCAGCTGCTCCTCAGAAATCCTACCTATGAGTCGGGAATGACTCAACAGCACTTAAGAAGCACAACTGTGGTGTTCTGGATTAACACTGGACTGGAAACCACATGGTTGGCAGTTCAAATCTACTAACTGCTCCTCAGAAACCCTACACAGGGTCACTATGAGTCAGGGAACTGATTCGATGGTACTTCGCAACAACAGCAGCAGCAGCATTGGGATTACCACGCTAGGAGTCAGTGAACGTTTTCTGTAAAGTCTATCACAGCCACTCAGCTGTGTTCTTCAGTGCAAAGTCAGCCATACACAGATGTATAAAGGACGAGCATGTTGTGTTCTAATAAAATTTTATTTAAAAATAAAGGTTGGGGACTAGATATGGCTACCAGTCATTGTCTGTCAGTTCCTATTCTAGCTCAACATGGCTTTTGCTACTTGAATTCTCTAACACGTGTGCCAGCAGGTCAAAGGCCACAACGGCACTGGCTGGGGCAGTGGCGTTCTGTGAAATCTGCCCAGATGTTCAGATACTGATATCCCCCATCCTTCACCCTGAGACACACGCAGTCCTGCCAGAAAGGATAACAGAACTCTGACCGAGGAGAACCAAGGAGGGAATTTCCTAAATAAAATAGAAACCCCTGTCCCCTGTGTTCTGCCTAGAAGAAAGAACTTACTGACAAGTACTTTGTTTATGCTTAAAGTCATTGTTATTTAAACCATTTCCAAAGAAAATTGCTCATGTTCTTAATAACAGAATAGTATCAGATATGAGCTCCGTTTCCTAATTAAGTCGCTTACTAAGTCAGCCACACATAAGACTAAGAAATGAATTTCGAAGTTTCCAAACACCACCCCACGACAGAGCATCATGCGCCACATCACCTGGTTAAGATTGTTTCTGAAATCCTATCCAAAGACGTTGATCCATTTAGATGGGAAAAGTTTTTTAAGACGTAAGGTAAGGACAGCTACATATAGAGTTCACTGCCTAATTTTAAAAGATAGGTTTTCCCTCCAATGTTTCATTATGAAGATAATCAAGCATAAAGAAACCTGAAAGAACTACCCAATAAACAGCCATGTGATCGCCACTTAGACAACACAATTGTTAAGAACCTGCTGCACTAGCTTCATCTCATCACTCCATCCTTTAGCAGTGACAATTTGTAAACAAAAAATCCATGCACACATTTTTAACTTTGGATTTGGTGAGTTTCAAGTTTGCACACAAGTTGGATAGTACAGAGAACTCCTCTTTACGTCCCCACCCAAGTCACCAATTTTTTTACATTTTTCCAAATACACTTCGTCTTTCTATTCATAGAACACGTATCTGTTTCCCTGCGTCCTGACATCACCTCCCTACAATGTCAGTGTGTAGTTCCAAAGAATAAAGTCGTCTTTGGCACTGCCACTGTGTTGGTTCTCCAGTTCAGGCAAGTTAACGCCGATAAAATACTTTTATCTAATCTATCATCCCATCCTAATTTGTCAGTTGTCTTGATAAATGCTTCGCAGCGTTAGTGTGTCCTTCCTCAGCCCAGCAGGAGGACGCGCTCAGCATTTGGTTTCTATGTCTTTAGCATGGATCAGTTTGGAACCTCCACATCCTTTCTTTGTCTTTCCTGATCATGGTATTTATTTTTTTTAAATGTTCTCATTTGCCATCAAGCTGGCTCTGACTCATGCCAACCTCTGGCAGAAGAGAACAAAACGTTGCATGGTTTTGAGCCCTCTTCCTCACCACTGTTTATTTGAGAGCCCAGTGTTGAGGCTATGGCGCCAACCCATCATACAGAAGGGTTCTCTCATTCCCACTGACCCTCAATTTTCTCAAACACAATGTCCTCTTCTAGTGACTGCTCTTCCCTGATAATGTGTTTAAAGAGAGCAAGACAAAGTCTCCCCATGCTTTCTTCTAAGGAACATTCCAGTGATATTTCTTCTAAGACTGAAGTGTCTATCCACAATATATTCTTCACCAACACGGTACTTCAAATGCATCAATTCTTTTTCTGTCTTCTTCTTTCATTGTCCAGCTTTTGCATGCACCTTAGGTGACTAAAAAGACCCTGGCTTGGATCAGGTGCGCACCAGTTGTCAAAGTGCAAAGAGATGTACTGCGGCAGACTGCCTGGTACAGTATTTGGTTTCTTGATGACTGCCACCCTGGTGTTGACTGTTGATCCAAGAAGAATGAAATCCTTGACAATGTCAAGTTTTTTCTCTATTTATCAAAATGTGATTTATTGGCCCAGTTGTGAGATTTTTCATTTTATTTACATTCAGAATGAATCAAAGGCTGTGATCTTTGACTTTCATCAGTAAATGCTTCAAGTCGTCTTCATGTCTGGTAAACAAGGTTGTACCACCTGCTGTCTCAGGCTACTAATGAGTCTCCCTCCCATCTGATGCCATCCATGTTCTTCTTCATCCAGCCCAGCTGCTGTAATGAGCACACAGATGGAAGAACTATGCTGAAAGAATACACCCTCTGTACACCTTTTGGAGAATACACGCCAATAACTTTACAGAATGCTTCTCAATGTGAGTTTGTCCAAAGCATCTTGCGGTTCGATTCTGGGTATGTGTTCCTGGCTGGAACACTGTCTGGGTGGTGCCCTTTGCTTGCCAGGGGTCTAGTGGCACACGATGTCCATCTGGTCTGCTCTGGTGATAGGAATTTTTATCAGTTGCTCAAGGGATTGTCCAATTTCTCAACAGCCCAGTCACCATTTTTCTTCCTGTGATTAACACTTGCTCTAAGTAGAGACACTAGAGACTTTGTCAGATGGGCTCTATGGTTCCGCCTCAGCCTTTCTCCCTAGACTTACCATTCACTGAGGCGTGTTGCCTGACCTAGTCTTTATGTGACAGCTGCAAATGCTGATTGTTCACCTCTGCCATTTCTCCCACACTCCCCCCTTCACCCTCTCCCTATTCTTTCTGTCTGCCCATCAATCAATCATCAGGATGGACTCCTGAATTCCTATTTTATCCATGGGTTTACAATTCATTACTGTCTCGATGGAAGCCTTGGTGAGTCCCTTGAAACCATTCATAGGTCCTTTCACAGCCCCCCACCCATTCTTTGATGCCTCCCAACCTTCCAGAACAAAGAACATTCCAGGCTCCCCGGGGACCTTCCCAGCCTTCTCTCCCCAGGTGTGGACTGCCTTACTTTCTCCACTTAGGATCGGGGCTAGTAAGGAAACTGACAACTGCCAAGAGTACACTTTTTATAGGTTGCCTTGGGCTATGAGAGCATTCTCTTTTCTTCCTAGAATTCTTCTCTCTTAGGAAAGGATCACTTTAAAATCTTTACATTATTCAGAGGTTTCAATTAATTGAGAGCCTCGAGAAGTCAAGATCTTACTAAAATACTCTCCAACAAAAACTGTCATGCAGTTTACATATATATGTGCCTGAGGTCTTGAGGATCCACAGCAGAACCACCACCCAGCTCCACTACCCTTCTTCATTCATCCAACCACAGTTACCGAGAGCCTGTTGCTTACCATGCCATGACTGGGTACTATTGGCAGCTCAGCTGTGGGATGTCAGGGACTCAGGGGCTGCTCAGGAAATGGTCATGATGAAACATTTCAACTGGCAAATAGTGAAAAATTCTCAAACCAGCACAAGGCAAGAATTACAAAATGATTATACGAAAATGAAACCAATTGTCTTGTTTATACTAAACAAAGTTCAAAATCCATCTCAGAATATCACATGTTATTAAATAAAAAATAACATCTTCATTAGGTCAAAAGTTACTTTCCAGCAAGGGAGTCTGTACTAGAACAGGGGTAAAAACTGTTGTAAAGGACATTATTAAGGCAACTAAGAAAACTGGAGAATGAATAGTGGAACAGCTAATAGTGATACACCAATGTTGTCGGCAGTTCACATCCACCAGCTGCTTCTTGGAACCCCCATATGGGGTCACTATGAGTCGGAACCAACTTGATAGCACTTAACAACGTTATACTCCCTGAAGTTAAGAAGTGGACTATGGTTATGTAGAAGAATGTTCTAGTCTTGGGAAATACTCATGATGTATTTAGAGGCATAGTAGTATGATGTATGCAACAAATACACAAATGATTCTGGAAAAAAATTACACACGTGTGTATACGTACATACGATGGGGGCTTCAAAAAGTTTGTGGGAAAATTGAATGAAAAGATAATGGAAGTAACCAAGACCTGGCTTATTGGTCAGAAAGAGACTGGACAAACCCAAACCTATGGCCCTCAACCTCCCTTCAGGTCCAGAAAGGAACTCACTCTGTGGTCCAATTTCCAACCAAGCAGTAGATAGGTTTATAGAAGGGACAACACTAGCAAGGCATGTTCATCATGGAATGGTCAGTCTTTCAAGATTAAAAGGGGAACATTTACTAAAGGGCAAAGTTCAGAAGAGCTGGGGAGAAGGGTAGAATGGAAATAGGAACCACAGTGGGAAATCGGGATAACCATTGTGGCATGCAGAAGACTGCAATCATTGAGATGAAACAAAGTCTATGATTTACTGAATATACAGCTAGTGATCTGCTCTGTAAACCGCCACTCAGTGCACAGTAAATAGTTTCCAAAAAAGAGATCACGGAATTTTCCACGAACTTTTTAAAGCCCCCAACATACATATCTGACTGCAGGAGAAAGATGAGACTTTCTAGTCCTGCAAAGATTTACACCCTCAGAAAACTTATACAGGATCACAAAGATTCGGAACTGACTCGGCAGCACACAACAAAAACATATATACAACTACACACATACAAAATGAGAAAGATAAAGCAATATAGCGAAATGGTAACTTTTGGTGAATGGATGAAGGCTACATGGAATCTGTACTATTTACTTTCCCATAAGCTTGAAGTTATTTCCAAAATAAGAAGTTGGTTTAAACAATACGTAGGCACCTTACATATTGACAACAATGATAAAGACTCACTGTGGTGTAGTGAATTATCTAATGTCTCTTTTACTTAGTCATAGACTGTAACTCCCTGCCCTGCTGGATCAGAGGAAAAGAAGGTGGAAGAAGGTACTGACTGACAGGATGATGTAATCAGCTGTGGATGTCAGCAGAGTTCACTGTAAACATAAAAACTTGAAACCCCGTTGTTTAGTGCCATCGAGTAAGTTCCAACTCATAGTGAGCCAGTATGGGGTTTCTGAGGAGTGGCGGGTGAGTTTGAACTGCTGACCTTATGGTCCAAACTGACCTAGCTGTCCTGCACTTATCCTACAGCGCCACACCAAGGATCTTTAAAACCCTAACATGGGTTCAATGGGAGCCTTCTCAGAAGAAGGGGGCATCTCGCTACCATCAATAAAGAGGAGTCAGTAATGGAGTCTGTCCTGTGGAGCCCGAGATCCCTGCTCACTGACCCATCTCGACTGTGGCACCAGAGGAGTGGACAGGAGCAGCAGCAGCAGAACCGAGCACCAGAGCACAAGACAGAGCAGTGGACTTCCCAGCCCACAAAGCAAGTACAGCTGAGGGACTTCGGGCAGCCGGACGTTTGTCTGTAGAATGGGGTGCCTTCCAGTATTTAAGTGGGAGAGCTAGGTTTGCTGATCCACGGAGCCAGAGCCGAGTGCCTTCAGGCTGAGGCTTACAGTGAATTGGTGCGTCCGGTGGGCATATATCAGCAGCTGACCGAACAACTGTGTCCTGAGCATTTCTGACCCCGAATTGTAACCTCTTAACTTTCCTATTCAATCCCATAACTGAGTATGGTGTGTGAGTCCTTGAGGCCATTGCAATGAATTATCGAACCCAGCATGAGGAGAGACGATTGTGGGAGGAATGGTTGGTAGTTCATTTTTTGTATGATTATTCAACATTTACCATGTGCCAAGGCAATTTCCCATACCACAATTCACTCAATCCTCACCACAACTCTGAGGGTAGAATTACTTCCCCATGCTGCTGCTGCTGTTATTGTTGTTAAGTGACACCGAGTCAGTTCCAACTCAGTGACCCTATCTAGGGTTTCTGAGGAGTGGCTGGTGAGTTTGAACTGCCGACCTTGTAGTTCAGACCGATCTTAGTCCAGTGCTTATCCTACAGCAAGCACCACACCAGGACTCTATGCTAAGAGGTGAGAAATCTGAGACACAGCAAGGTTAAGACATCAATCCAAAGGCATACAGCTTGATTATGGCAGAGCGAGGCTTCCAAGCCTAGGAGCTCTGGTAGCGTAGTGGTTACAAATCAGGTTGTGAACCTTAAGATCAGCAGTTTGAAACTACCAGCTGTTCCGTGGGAGAAAGATGAGGCTTTCTGCTCCTGTAAAGGTTTACAGACTCAGAAACCCTGTACAGGGTCACTATGAGTCAGAACCAACTCCACAGCACATAACCACCACCACCAGGCTTCAAAGCCAAGGTTATCGTACTCTCCTGCCAGACCGGTGCAACACGCCTAGTCAATTCACCAGAACAGACTGCTCACATCACTGCAATGAGAAACCCGCGTCTGTTACCTGTGGGTAGGAATCTTCAAAGGCACGGTCTGGAGTCATGTGCTTGATGACATCAGCTAGAACAGCATTCACCTCTCGTTTCTATGCAGGGAAGAGAAATCCAGCCTCTATTAAACACTGAACTGGATTTGGGAATGATTTTCAAGAGAAAAGGACTAAATGCGTTTCACAATCTATCAGACAAGTTTCAGCAACTGGTTTCAGATGTTCTGCTGAAAGCAGTTAAAGAGGCGAGCTCCCAGCCATACAAGTGGGGTGGTACAGCACAGACCCACACGAGATGGACCAAGACTGGGGCTGTGGGTAGGAGAGGTTAGTCCCTCTTTCTTGATCTGGACTGTGAAAATTAAGTACACAGTATGCTGATGATTTCTGTAGGCAGGTCATACATCACTTTTTCAAAGTTTGTTAAAAAACAACAACAACATAACAATAACAACTAAGTAATAAACTGCGAGCCTTGTTCTATCTGCTTCTAAAGTCTTTGTTGTTACACTGGCCCCATATTTTTTAGACTTCTGACAAGATCAGCAAGGGACTGAGAACCATAAGGTTCAAACCCACCAGCCGCTCTTTAGAAACCCTGGGGCTCTACTGTGCACCTATGAAAAGAAGTGGCTACTTTTCTTAAAGAGAAAAAAAAAAACTGCACACAATTCAAGTATGTTTGAGAAATCCTGCTCACAAGACTGCCTTGGACAGTCGCCATCCATTTCGGCACATAAGCATCCGAACTGTCCTATGGTGAAAACAATGACTTAACTTTGCATCACATGTGAGCATGGAACACTTTTTGTTACTGTACACACATCATTGCTTCATCACACTAGACTCTAAGGGAGGTAAATTTTCAGAGGTTCTCAGAACAATCACCATTACAGAATGCTGAAATGCCTAAAGGAGAAAGCTTATTGTAAAAACAAAGATAAAATATCATTCTTTCCAAAACAATAGCACAGCCACATACCGTGAAATGCTTGCACGTGTACTCTACCCACACTTCGGCACAATTAATGTAGTCCTGCAGAGAACAAGAAGAAACTTCTTTACAATGAGGACAGCATGTGTCACAAAGTCCCTGGCAAGGGTTTTGATACTGGAAAGAGCTGGCTAGAGAAAGGGATTTCAAAAATGGTTTACCTCTAGGAAATTCTGGCCTACTGATAAATTTTACATTGAGAAATGATTATATTAAAAAACAATACCAAAAAGACCCACCAGAAATCTTGACCTCCCGCCACCCTCTAAGGTTGTCCATGAGTCCTCTGAGGCCAAGAGGTAAGGGGGCAGGCAGACTAGAACACTGGACACAAAACTTTCAGAAAGGAATGAACGAGACCTTTGACACATTGTCAGAAATGCAGCCAACGTCACTGAACAATTTGTGCTGAAAACTCTCGAATCCACACGATCCAAGTTAAAACAGGAGTTGTACCTTTAAGAAACCATTTCCTATGGCAAGAGGAACTATTTATGTTAGAGAAGCCCTAAGTCTTTAAGGTAAGGAACTCAGGTAGATTCAAGGAGAGAGGCCCACAGACAACACGGTGGCTCCAGAGAGGGCAATGGCCAGAGAAGTATGGCTGCCTGTCCCACTCAGGCGGAGAGCAGTCCAGGGACAACGTACCAACAAGTACGTACTCTCTCTCTCCTTTCTCTACCTGCTTTGTTCTGGCAGGTTCAGGGACAGAAAGAAGAAATTAGGGAAAAGAAGAAAAGTGATTTCATTCACAAGGGATAAGTCAAGACTGTTCTAAGGTGTGGCTGGGATGCTAAGCAGGTAAGCTTAGTGAGGTAAGTATGGAGCTATAGACGAGAGGAAACTGGTGAGCCAGGTTTTTGATGCAAGGCTACATTAAAGCAGGGCAATACTAAGGGCCCTGCTGGCCCAACGCCAGGACCAAGCCACAAGCTTGTGGCTTAAACCAACTCCTTTCGCTTCAAGTCAACTGTAGTGACCCGATAGGACAGAAGAGAACTGCCCCAGAGGTTTCCATCTGCGGCAGGAAGATGGGACAGTCTGCTTCCATGAGGATGACAGCTCTGGAAATCTTGTCCTTAGAGCTGCTGCGAGTCAGGACCAGCTCAACAACAGTGGGTTGGGTTTGGGTTCAGGAAATAGCTTTTCCTTTAAGGTTTCTAGATGACCTCAGGGCAATAGTTGAGGGTAGGAAGGTGTGACTTAATTCCGTTGAAAAAAACAGAAGTATAATTAATGAAAAGATGATGTTTGTAAAGAAAGATTATATTGCATGACTTGGAAAAAAGCAGTCATTGACATATGTCTAAGGGGTCACCCACCTGCGGGTTCTTCAACTTAGTGATAACTTTCCAGGCTTCATTCAGAATCTGAAGTTGATCGCTCTGAGGCGGATCAGCCAAGGCCAAGTTCAACCCCAACGAGCGAAAAAGGAGATGCTAAGAAAAATATGAAACCATTATGTTACTGGAGACTACATTATAGAAACCTGAGGCTGGGCAGAAAAGAAAAGGGTGTGAAACCGAGTCTGTCTCAGGATTAATCTTCTGAGACTCTACCATGGGGCGACACACATTAGACCCAGAAGCTGAAAATAAAGTCGACTCCCCGTGAGCATTTAATCTGTGGCCCATGATAGCTCACTGAACAAAGCTTTTCATAAATACTCACGGGAGATGTGTTTGCAAAGATGTGAGACACAAAAGTGTTTCTAAATGTTTCACCGTGAGCTAACTGGGTAGATTAAGGATTCACAGGAGGCTGACTCCCAGCAATTACATGGTGTCTGACAATCCCAATCTCTAACTCATCTTCCACCCCATTCTGCAGACACAGAGCCTCCGCTTGTTTCCCTGTTGGTCCCAGCTGCCCCCGCTGGACTCTCTCCCTTGAGAGCTATCACATGAACGCTGCCTGTCTGTTTTCCCACTAAGTCAAGGGCCTACCTTAGGGAAACCGGACTCATCACATTCTTTAATCATGCCAATAAAGTCCATAGACCTCGTGGCAATGAATTCGGCCCGGAACGCTGACATCACGGAATTCAACAGCAAGGCACTGCAAGACAATGGCCCTGCATCAACAGAGCTTCCTGTGAAAGGCAGGTGCTGAGATTTTAGGCTGTGGATTACTGGGATGGATGGCTAACAGCTCTTTAATGAAAAGGGTGGAAAGAAGAACCGGAGTTGAAAGGCAACCTCTAGAGACTGCCCATACCTGGAATTCAATAAATGCTCAATTATCTAGATGATAATGCAAACAATTAAACATGCAAACAGTTAAATCCACTTAAACAGAGAGAGAAAAAGCAGGCATACATTAAATAACACTATTGATTCAAGTTGCAGGCAGGCACTCACATCGGAGTCACCAGGGGCACAGTGGTGAACTAAACCCACTCAACACTGCCACACCCCGAGCCCTGAAAGGACAGCAGAGAGGAACTCTCATTCACTCTGGAGACAGCAAGGGCCAGTTCATTGTGGACAGCAATGCTAATAAAGCGAATAAGGTGCATGGCACTCGTGTGGATGTTCTTGTTGTTAGGTGTCATCAAGTCAATTCTGACCCATATAGTGATCCTATATAGGGTTTATGAGGAGCATCTGGTGGGGAAGAATGACGAGGATCATCACTTTACAGTTGAGAAGACTGAGGTCCAGAGAGGTTAAGTCAGTCACACAGCTAAGAAAGGGTGAAGCCAAGATCCAAACCCAGGCAATCAGACACCAGCAGCCTAAGCCGCCATGTTGTCCTGCTCCTTTGTTGCCATGAAAGCAAGCCAAGGCTCCAAAGGGCAATCGACTCCATGTCCAAATGCACGCTTCACGGATGTTAACTGACTTACTTGTTTCCCAGCTTCTTACATCTCTCCATCATCTCAGTTAGCAGAGCCTCATGAAACAAACAAACAAACAAAATTAGCAGGCTGGAAAATCCAAGCGCAACATCCATCACTTGGAGACAAGTCAAAATAAATGTGGCCACATACCCATTTACTCAGTTCCCAGTGGGGTCGGGAAGGGAGAGAAACAGAGACGTGGCATTCGGTACCAGGGAAAGACCTTGGCTCAAATCCAGCATCAGCAACAACTGGAGCAGAGACCTCAGGCAAGTCACCCGGCTTCCCTAATTCTGGGTCTCCACTCCCTCACCCAGAGAATGAATGTGGTGCCACAGTAGATGCAGGGTTACTACAGGATGACAAGGAGGACACCTCCTGGGCTCTAGGGCATCCCACCCTCACTCCCCACCATTCCCAGTTCCATGTGGTGCCCACAGTCCCCTCAGCATCAGAAGCAGTAAACACTGAGCTGGTGTCTTGTACTGGCCCGCCAGGCCAAGAACATAACTGAAAAAACATAAGGCTCCGCACTCATACAGAAATATGCAGAAATGTCCAGGACGCCAAAATGCCATGGAGCCCCGGCAGATCTGTGATTCTGTTACTATTGTCTTTTTCCCTGAGAAAGTGGCAGGGCTGATTATCTTTCACAAGAAAAAGATGAACGATCATTCAAATCAGACTGTGATGGAAACAAGTCTTTTGGCAGAGATAAGCCACTGGAAAGTATGCAGCTCAGCGCATTAACATTTCAGATGCACATTAGAACTTCATGACTCATAAAGCAGGTATTTATTGTGTTAATCTTTGTCTGGAGTCCTGGTGTGGTGCTGTAGGATATGCACTGAACTGTTAGCCTTAAGTTGGTGGTTCAAACCCATCCACCACTCCTTGGAAACCCTATACAGGGCTGCTATGAATCAGAACCGATTTGACGGCACTTAACAACAACAACAATCTTTGCTTTAAATTTTTGTTGTTCCTACATTTCATTTGCTTGCTGCTGCTACATGCTGTTGAGTTGGTTCCAACTCATAGCAACCCTACATAGGTGTCCATGGCTGTAAACCATTATGGGAACAGAAAGCCTCATCTTTTTCCCACAAAGCAACTGGTGGATTTGAACCGCTGACCTTGCAGTTACCAGCCCAATGCATAAATTACTACACTACCAGGGCTCCTTTTCATTTGTTTATGGGATATTAAATTATTCTTTACAGATTATTGTGGTGAAATGAATCACTTTTTAAATGGCCTTTCTTGTGACTCCTACAAAATAGTTGGATGGGATTATGCAAATAACGTGCTTGTGGTCCATCAAGGAGATGGACAGCAATGCTAATAAAGCAAATAAGGTGCATGGCACTCTTGTGTATGTTCTTGTTGTTCGGTGTCATCAAGTCGATTCTGACCCACAGTGATCCTATATAGGGTTTATGAGGAGCACCTGGTGAGCCTGAACTGCCAGGTGTTTAGAACCCTGACAAGGGTCAGTTCTGCCATCTCATTAGGTTTAAAAGAGAGCTGATTCCAGAATAGAGGGGGGCCTCTGTACCACCAAGAATGAAGTACCAGGAGTGGAACATGCCTTTAGATCTGAGGTCCCTGTGCTGAGAATCTCCAAGACCCAGAAGCCAGAGAAGAGAGTGTGCTAACATCAGAATGGGACAGGAAGTGAGAAGCAGCGGCAGATTTTCTGCAAATACATTGCCAGATGTTTCTTCCAAAGTGCCCCTGCGTGCACTCAAACCGCCAAGCTTTTGGTTAGCAGCTAAACCTATTAATTGTTTGTACCTCTTAGGAACTCCCTGTTAATATGAAAGGGTATGGCTTAAGGGGAGCCCAGCACTCCCCTGAGGTGTCCCTGGTAGTTACCTCGGGAGCGTGGTAGGAGACGCACTGGAAGATCCAGTCCATAGCAGGTGAGTACAAGGGCAGGTAGGATGGGAACTCCACTCCCTGGAGCACCAGCTGGTTCTGGACCGTATCCCCGTGGATCTACCAGAGAGCAAATGCACACTCAGAAAAGGAGGGGCCATCAGACAACAGAATTCAGACGGCGCGCATTTGACAAATGGCCTGGCTTCTCAGTTGGTGCTATTTTAAAACGAGAAAAAGCACAGGGAAAGTTCTCCATGCCACCAAGCTGAGCTGTTTCAGAAATGGGATGGGTGCTGTAGAAAGTCACCAGATCAGAAAGACTCATCAACTGAAGACATGTCCTGTTAATACATACATACTAATCCTCTCTGCTGTTGGGCACAATCAACACATTTTAATGGTGACAACAAACTCGGGTGTAATCTTCGCATGTTTACACATCTAGAAAGCTTTAGGGCATTCACAACCTGGAAAACTACCGGGGCTCAGTGAAGTATGGACTAGCATATAACAGTTATGTCAGAACTGCTTTTAGAGAGTTCTCGTACCTGTTTAAACGTCAGGAGGAAATCAAAAAAGTTCTTATTTAGGCTTTCTTTGAGATGGGCAGCCACTTCCATTCCCACCTGCAGCCAAACCAAAATGACGTTACCATGACATGAAACACTCAGTACAATAGGCACAGCATATCACTAATCTTGTCAATCAGACACAAATCTATGTTAGTGTGTATACATATACATATATATATAAACCTCTGTGTGTATGTACCTAGGGGGCTTCAGAAAGTTCGTGGGACAGTTGAATTTAAATAATGGAATTTTCAACCATTTTTTAAAAGATATATATATAGATATGGAGCTCTGGTAGCGTAGTGGTTACGTATTGGGCTGTGAACCACAAGGTCAGCAGTTTGAAACTACCAGCTATTCTGCGGGAGAAAGTTGAGGTTTTCTGCTCCTATAAAGATTTACAGCCTTGGAAACCCTGTACAGGGTTGCTATGAGTCAAAACTGACTTCATGGCACATAACCAAACAAACCAATATATATATATATACACACACATACACACACAGACACACGCATTTTTTCTTTTTGCTTCTTTTTATTCTATTCAACATATTGCTTTTATCAGAAAAACCACAGAAGTTATTTTTAATGGGGAAAAAAAAGGGCAACATTTCCAGGCATCGTTTTTGTAGTTTCCCAAAGGTAGCGAATGTATTTCTGAACAGAAGTTCAAGAGAACAAATCAATAGAAGACTAAGGAGGGGTGTGCTCTCCAGAGTGTGGACAGGACAGCACCAGCCTCTCTAAAGGACCATAAACACACACATGGTTGTACTCTTTAGCCAAGCAGAAAGGTCTTGGTAAACTGTTAGAAATCAGCTGAACTTTTGAATCCTGCGCTGCCACTGGTGTGCTGGTAAAAGCTATGTAGATTCTTTCTTTGGTAGCCTGACATGAAAATGTCAACATTTTAAATAATATAAGTAATTTTATATTAGGCAAGCATGCAGCATAAAAACGCTCTAATCCATTGGTTCTCATTCATTGTTTAAAAAACTTATTGTCACATTTCTTGCTGAAGACATTTGCTAATCCTAGAAAATGTGGGCAATGGTTAAGCATCTGACTGCTCACCGAAAGGCTGGTGGTTCAAACCCACCATCCATTATGAATCTGCATCCGTAAAGATGACAGCCTAGGAAGTTGTTGGGCAGCACTACTCTGTCCCCTGAGGTCACTAAGAGTTAGAATCAACTTGGCACACAATGACGAGAGAGAAGGTGACCAGAGCACTAGGACAGATGGAAAAGTATGAGCTCTGAAGGAGAGCTGACGCATTCAAAAACAAACGAAAAACACCACGACGCTTCCAAAACCAAGCTGCTCAGATCGCACCTCAATTCAAACTGCCACTCTACCACCTAAACAACTTCATGAGAAAGTACCTAGTTTCTGCAGATGGGTACAGAATTCTGCCTCTCACCTCCGCTACCCAGAGGTCCTAATTAACAATGACGGTTTAGAGATGGTAGCAAACAAATATGCCAGGGTCGCTGGGGTAGTTCTCTGGCTGGTGGGTACAGGATAGATGCTTCCAAAGACTAACACAGATTTAAAAAAAAAAAACAAACTAATAACAACTGTCAAATCCAGTTGCACTGTGTTCTTATTCTATTGTCTTTCCTTCCACTAAATCATATCATAGAAAAGGCAGTAATTATCTGCTAGGCAGCAGCAAAGAAAGGCCCGGTGGACAAGCAGTCTGAAGGGGACAAGACTTCGGTGTTAACCACACTTTCCTTTAATAAACAGTTTCGAGCTCCCCCCACGCCCTACCCACTCGCTACTCTGTGCTTTGTTTCTCTTGTCTCATCAAGCCAAATGAGCATCTTGGAGCTACAAGATTTCTACCCCGAGTACCAAGGACAGTTGCGCAGTATCTCCATCTGTTGTTTTTGCCTGCCTGGCATCCATTCCCACCCTTCCTGGTGTCAGCATATTGGGCTTGTCTTTGGGGAATAAGACTTTCCTCTCTCAGTCTATGAGCTATATGGTGGGACTGGACTCACCCCCCCTTCAGGGCACATGACCCAGAGGTGGGTCTATGACTGAGGCCTGGTCAATCATCCTATGCCACCCCATGGCTACAGTGATTGGTCTGTGGGTGGATAAGCGACCCAATGTGGTCCAATCAGAATCAGCTCTGGGCTGGAATGACTGACTGGGGAAGAGGTGCTCTCTCCCGAAGAGGTGCTCTCTCCCCAGTGGAGCTGCTGTAGGTATTGGACAGAACAAACCAGAAAATGAAGCTAATCCAGAGGTAAGCAGAGCTGGGTGATAGACTTCTAGGGTGGTCCTTGGTCACACCTCTGTGGCCCTTGATCTACCCTGCCTGCACTGTCCCTAGATTCTTCAGACATATGAGCCAATAAATCCCTTTTGGCTTTTTTTGCTCAAAGTAGCATGAACTGGGTGTGGGGGTTTTTTGACACTTGATACCGAAAGATTTCCTTCTTCATTTATGTGATGCTTTTCTTGTTTATTTCTTCTTGGTGTTATTGATGTCAAGATTTATTACTGTCCTACAAGAAAGGATCG